CACCCAGGCAAAGAGCACCTGGCAGACCCATGAGCTGTGAGTTACTCTCAAACTGATTTCCAATACCTTTCCCTGCCAGCTTCAAATCTTCACCTGATCCTGGTCTGCACAGTGGGGCTTTAAACTTCTAAAAAATCAGGGTTGTACTGGGCACCAGGCTCAGCCTCTCTGAGAGGAGCCCTGTGAGAGCAGAGCACCAGAGACCCTTTTGTTGGTGGTTCTTGTGAACTGCCCCATATTGAGATCCCAGTCTGTTACTCTGGTTCTCTCCAAGACGCTGATCCAAGGGCAGCAAGATGATTCCCAGTGAAGTGAATGCTTTGGATCAGACCTGGAAATGTCTCCTTGCATGAAAGCATTTCCCAGTTGCTGCTGTACCTTTTCCCTGTAAATCTGCTGGGTGCCAGAGTTGGGCCCCCTAAAGCACCCCCACAGCCATGGAGGGAGAGTGACACTGATCCCACCTCTCCATTTCTTCCCAGCCTATGGATCAGACAGCAGACCCCCCATGGCAATCTTTGAACTTCTGGATTACATTGTCAATGAGGTAATTTATAAACTTAAACATCTGCACTTTACAACTGTAAACTTTTAAAGCATCCTGGAATTTGGGGGACTGGGGGGTTGGTGCTGTTTAGTCTGGCTTAGCCTTATGACTTAGTCACAATTATCTTTCAAATAGCTAAGCTCCAGGGCTGGTTAGAGATTTGTATTTTAGAATGGGTTGTTTCCAGTATTTTCACAAGTACCACTGAAACTTGTGTGACTCCACTGCTTGTGTTCTTCATAAAAAAACCCCAAAAAACCCTATGCTCATGTTAGCTGTCATTTGTAGCAGCTGGATGAATTATTGAAAACTGTCCCCCTCACACATTTAAAAGGCACAGTTGGTGTCTGGGTCCCTGCATTGCCTGTGCCACTGATAAATTGATAAATTGCTTCTGTAACTCATCTGCTTGCAGAATTCTCTCAGACTACAAATCTATTTTGCATATTATATAACACCCCAATCTGCCAGCACTAACTCTGGGAATAGAGTTAGCATTGAATTACTTCAGCTGCTGTGGTCCTGCTCCTGCAGCATCCCTGAGGGCGTCAGTTTGGGTGAAAAGCTGCAGTGCTTCAGTTGGGTGAGATTATCTTGTCCAACTTCTGCTTGAGCACAAACTTCTTCAGCAGGAGCTGCTCCCTCCAACACAGGCTGTGCACCAGTGAGGGAGGAGTGCAGGTCTTGTCTCTGCTCTGTGCATAAAAGTAACTCAGTGCAAGGATGGAAACTTACCCTGATCCTGGAGCCAAGCCCTGGAGGATGAGGCAGTAACGTGCAGGTTTATGCAGTCCCCCTTCTTTATTTGTCAGAATTCTTTCTGCATTCAGAGCCTGAACAAACTCATTCCCAGGGACAGAAAATTTACATCAAAAGGATTATGGAACTAATGATGTGCAGGGCATCTTCCCTCAGCTGTGTGGAGAATGACAGGGTGCTAATTAGTGCTCTGAGCCTTCTTTAATGAGAGCTGAGGCTGTGCTCGCCCCATTCAGGTGTGTGTGTGGAAAAACAGAATAACCAACCAACCAAAACCCACCCCATGCCAGAGAAAGTCTGATTTATTACTGAAACATCTGAGGTCCTGCAGCTGGGAGTAATAACCCACATCAGCCAGGGTTTTACAGCTTTGCTCACATGTGGGACAGGTGACTGGTAGGTCCCTGGGTAGGTGGTGCATCATCATGTATTAGTTATGCTGAATGATTTCTGATTTAAAAAATTTATTTATTCATTTATTTATTTACAGCCACCTCCAAAATTACCCAATGGTGTCTTTGGTTCTGAATTTCAAGATTTTGTTAACAAATGGTGAGTATTTTCTCTGTGTTTTCTCTGTGGCTGAGTGGCCAAGGGACACTGGCTGGGCTCAGCCCTGCTTTGTCTATCAGGCATTTGGCAGTCAGAGTCCCTGCTCCTGGCCAGGGCAGGTGTAAGGATTGCAATCAGCATAATCCTCTTTGGGTGTTAATTGCCTGAAGTTCATCTCACAGGCTGCATCCAGAGGAACCCTAAGGCTCGGGGAGATTCCCCTCCTCAGCACTGAGTTTGTGCTGTGTGCAGCTCAGAGCAGCCCTTTCCCAGCCTGGGCAGTGAGGCACAGCACACACAGCTTCTGCAAGGCTCAGGAACATCATCCTGCAGTGGGATGCACAATCTGGAATCTTCCTTGGCAAGAACCTGGCAATTCTTCCTTGCCCATGAACCAACACCTTCATCCCAGCAGGCACTGCCCCATCTCTTCACTTTCCCTCAGTGATGCCAGCACTGAACCAGTGCTAAGGGAGGCAGCTCACTGCAGTTCAAAAGTTTGCTTGTTTATCAAATATCTGTGTTTACAGCTTCCAAAAGGAAGAACAGTCATGCAATAGTCCTACTTGATACTGAGCTTGGAGACATTTGGGGCAAAGAAACGTGAGGGATAAAGTGGTTTGTGTTGTTTTAGATGAAATGGGATTTATCTCCCCAGCTCGGTTTAGACACTCATCAGTCTCAGACAACTCAGGATTTCTTACCTGGAGCTGTGGAACCCACAGAAGGGAATTGCAGGCTCCCATCTCTGTCTGAGAGACACTGATGCTTTTATTGAATGGTGTCATCAGGGCAACACAACCAACAGGACACAACTCAAGCCTTATTTTAGAAGATAATAGAGTGTAACTTGTGCACCCCTTTGTGTTTTCCTAGTTTAATTAAAAATCCTGCTGAGAGAGCCGACCTGAAGCAGCTGATGGTAAGTGAAGGTTTTTGATTTGATGGATGCCTTTCCCAGGCAGGTTGGCAGATCAGAGCACGTGGCCTCGAGGGTGGCTGGTGGCCCTTGAGCAGCTCAGCTTGAGGAGGAACAGCTTTTCTGAGCTAGAGAGCAAGGGGCTGCAGGTTTCACACCCTCCTACAACAGGGACTGTCAAGGAGATCAAAAGTCTGGTGGGCTGTAGAGTCTGCCATTTGATAATCACAATGGGTGACTTAAATTAACAAAAGAATTCTCTCTTGAGTTTATTAGTTAATAATAAAGTATTGATTGATACTTTTAGGAGGACAAAAGAACAAATCTCCACATACCATATGGACTAATTAAATACATTTTTAATCATATGTTCTGAAACACAAAATTTGTCACTTTTTTATCAGCTTTGTCTTGCAAAGTCTGTAGAACTCCACACAAATTCTGCGTTTTTTCCCTGTGTGAAATAACCATATCAGTCTCAGTGCAGCCTTTTATGGTTTGAAGTGTAATGCCAGGACTTGGGTTGTACTGCAGAAAATCAGGTTTTCCCTGCCCTGACCCTGCCACACAGTAATGGTACAAAATGCAGGGAGACTTTTTATTACAAAAAGCCTTTCAGTGCCCAGGTAGACTTCTTCCAGAGTATCACCTTGAGTGGCTGAGTCACATCCTTCCCATTTGTGTGGTGCCAGTGCCCTGCAGCAGGTGCTATGGCAGGATCCCTCTGGGGAGGGACCCCAGTGCCTGTTCTGCAGTTCTGTGGAAAACTCTCCACACGTGGTTTGGAAAGTTTTACAGCTCCAAGAGGATTTATGGTTCTGGCTGCTCCTGGGGGCTGGCACACTGACCCTGTTCTTCTGTGCCCAGATCCATGCTTTCATCAAGAGATCCGAGGCAGAGGAGGTGGATTTTGCGGGGTGGCTCTGCTCCACCATCGGCCTTAACCAGCCCAGCACCCCCACGCACGCCGCCGGCGTCTGAGCCCGGGGGCAGCTCCTGGACTGTACCTCTGGTGACAACGATGCTCTCCTGGTCCTCCTTCCTCAGCTTGTACCTGTTCAAACATGTATTTCACCTCTTAAGGAAGAATGTCTTGATAGCATGTGCCAAAACGGTTTTAAATCTCGTCCTAAACTAATTGGTATCGTACCGGGTTCCGTCGTTCACTGACCAAATGTAAGCTGTGTAAGTTCCAGTGCTTGCTGATTTTAGGTGATTATGGATATTCTTTCTTAATGAAAATATCACTGGGGCAGAGGGGTTGGCCCCTGGCTTGTTTGAACTTTATCAAGACTCTTTGTAAATCGTTGGTACTTCAATCATGCTTTCCCTGAGCTCCCCGGGCTCGGGATGCTCCGAGCCTGTCTGTGAGCATGCTTTGCTGCTGCCCAGCTGTTCCTGAAAGTTAGGCTCCAATGTTGCTGTTGTCTAGAGATCTCTCTCTTTGCAGGTGAAGAAGGCAAGAGCTCTGCATTTCTCGGAATGTACAGGGCAATATTCTAATTGTAGACTTGTTCATATTTCTATATTTATTTTTCAAACATATCATCATCCTTGGATTTAGTGATGTATGTCTTTCTAATTGATTTTTAAAAGTTAGTTCTTGGAAGTGTCCTATGGAATCAAGACAATGATCCAAGCACTTTGCTTTCTTTTAACCTAAAGAGTCATGACAACTGTGTTTAGTGTCTAAAAGTGTATGAAAATCCTTTATTGTTTTATTCTCTCAGATGTTTAGCAATGGGTTCTCTTAATAAATATATTATCAAGTAACTTCTTGAAGCTTATTTTAAAACTTCACCAAGGCTTTAATCCGGTCCCTGCACTATAAATTTCAGCTCTTTGAAAGAATGCTTTGGATGAGGAAATGCCTGAAATTCCTCCCCAAAAGGAATCCCCATCAGTGGGACAAGAACTTCCACATGGCCAAAGGATCGGGTATCAAAGGGCTGGCACAGCCTGGGCCCAGCAGCGGCAGGAAATGACTCACTGACACATCCAGGGCTTCCTCCAGCCTGTCCTGGCTGGAATGAGACCTGAAGTGGCAGCTGGGAGGGTGAAAATGGAACTCTTCCCTGAGCTTCACCTACAGCCAGCAACCAGAGCCACACCAGAGCCTTTTACTGTCTGCTGAAAGAAACACACAGCAAGGTTTGAGAGCTTTAACTCCCTCCCGCTTTGGGTCGTCCCCCCAGATAAATAATTTGGGCACTGCAAGCACAGTTGTGTGTAAGGACAGCAGGAAAAGAACTTTATTGCAACATGCGCTAGAACTGGGCTGTTCAAATCCAAAAGCGAGGGACTCGTTCACAAAAGCAGCAGGAATTCTATCCATGAAAACTACTCTGGACCATGCTGGGCACAAATAACATTTTTCAGCAGTCAAAGTTACCCTCTGGAGTTGAAATGTGCCAAGAAAGGCCAGGATGGCTCCTGAGCTCCTCCCAAACCAGCTCTTCACACACATCACTGCCAGGACTTATTTGACCGTAACATTTTTGGCTCAGACTTTTGGGATTTTTTTTACCTGTCAGGTTTGGGAAAGGTCTGTTAAACAATCTCTTCACTCCTGTTCTAAACTCCTTCATTAAGACATCCAGGATCCTCAAAACCCAAATAATCTTTAGCCTTAGGATGAAGCCACATTTACATCCCAACAGTTTCCAGTGGTACAAACCAAACAAGAGCCAAATTAACACTCATTAAACAGTGGCAGGAACTCACTGCAGGCTGACAGTCAGTTCTGGCCACCCCCAGGATCCCAGACACTTCCAAAAGCAAAAATGGTGGAGAGATTTCACATGATTTTCCATTTTTAACTAAGTTCTTAAACTTCTCATGCTCTTCCTTGAGAATCACAGGTGACCTTGCCTTGATTTATGAGGTTACAATGAGAGGAAAAGGAAATAACACCAATTTAAGAGTATTAGCTTATTACAAGCACCACAGATCATTTCTTACTCTACAATTTGTGGACAAATAAAAGGCTCCTTGGCTGCTGCTCTGAAGGAGCAGAAGTAGAAAGTCCTTCTCTGGCACAGACTGACAGAACTGAAGAGCACCAGAGGGACAGAGGGACCTCCCTGCTGTGCTCAGAGTTGGGCTGACATTGGGAGGACTCTGAGAGTAACTCCAGCATTCCATGGAACTCAGAACACAGCAGCTGAAGGCTGGAGACAGCCCTGGACACATCTTTTCTCACCCTGTCTCTTAAATTCCCAGTTCAGGCAAATGAGGTTGTAATGTAATCACTGGGGCAGCACCAGCCTCCAGGACCTGGATTTGTTTCTCACATCAGGAAGTGAGAACAGACAAGTTATTGCTTTTAGTGCACGTGTTAATTAGTCTGGTTGATCAACTACTTCTCCCTTCCACATACAAAGATGTTGTAAGAGCTACATTAGGTTTGAAATGTGGAATGGATTATGCTACATATTTGTGCAGCAATTTTCATTCTTTCAACATCTGAGTCAAGATGTGCCCAGGCTCTGAAATTCACATGTTCAGTGTCACTGCCCTTGACTCCGATATATCAAATAGTTCATATCCACACACAGCACAGAACGGAAATCACTTGGTGAGTTTCAGATGAATGAAGAAAAAATTCCTGAGTCTGTATTAAAAACCTTCTCTGATTTTTTTTCTCTCAAGAATCAGATTCTTCCTCCTCTTCCTCCTCCTCTTCCTCTTTATCATCCTGAACACTGAGGTGTAACTCAGTTTGATTGATGGCAGCCTCACTGTCCATCATCTGTCACGAGAAAAGGGCTGATTACCAAACCCAGCATGGGCACCAAAAGCTTCTCAAATCACTGTTAGAGCTGTGCAGTCTCTAATTAAAGGTCTCAGGGCTAGAACTGCTGACTGAGAGCCCATCACAGCAACAAGGCCCTGATCTCCATGGAAAAGCTGCACCTGGGTCAGGTATTGAGTGAAAAGCTGCAGCACCTGTGCCTCCATCCCCAGCAGCAGTGCCACCCCAGTGTCACAAGCATTAAACAAAATATTTAATAAATGGTGAACTGAAGCTGCACCACACAGGTATTTCCCAATCCTCCCCGAGACACGGTGCTGCTTTTGGGGATGGGAAAGGTGAAACCCTTAAAACCAGCAGCAAAACAGACATTTTACAGCTGAGCTTTGCAGTGATGAGAAGATGAGATGAGATAACACGAGGAGCTGCACAGGAAAACCGTGCAGAGCCCAACCCAGCCGTGGGGCCCCCTCCAACCCAGGGACCCCCTTACCTGCTGAGTGTCCTCGGCCAGGGCTGGCAGGGGCACAGGGACGTTCTCCTCACGGGCCCTGATCAGGGACTGCAGCGCCAGCTCCTCCACCTGCAGGGAGCTGCACTGAGCACTGCCGGCATCATCAGCCCGGCCCCTCTCACACCGCTTAACGTTTCCATTCACAACTTTGGGGGGGTTCACCTGGCACTCTTGGAAAAGCTTTCTTATATCTTCTGCAATTCTGTTCTACGCTGCTTTATTAGGATTTGCATGAGTCTCTAAACCCAAGCAGCCCTCAGTTCCACTACCTCAAACTATCCCTTCTCCATCCACCAGCTAAGGGAAACCACACACTCACATTTACCTCTTAGAGATGTATCCCACATACATTTATCTCTTAATGTACACCTACACTCACAATTGTAGGTGCCGCTTACAGATATATCCTACATACTTACATTTCTCTCTTCTTGTATGCTACATACCTTTTAGAGATGTATCCTATGCACACTCACAATTACATTTATCTCTTAATGTATACTAAATGCATCATCATTTACCTCTTAGCGATAAATCCTACATACACTCACAGTTATAGGTACCTTACAGATTTTACACACACAATCAGTTACATTTAACTCTTTGAGACGTACCCTGCACACAGTTTACCTCTCAGAGCACCGCAGACCCGGAACCCCTCAGCAATTCCCGGCTCTCCCTTTCGCAGCACCGAGCGGGCCGAGGGCCCGAGCACGGCCGCGGCTGAGGGCCAGGGCTGAGGGCCGCGGCTGAGGGCCAGGCCCGGCCCCGCCGCGGCGCTCCCGCC